ACATTTGTTGCTGGAACTATATATATAGTTATTGTTATTATTATTATAGTAGTAATAATCATAATTATAGTAATATATAATTATAGTTACAAATACCAAACATTTTTCTCTCTGTGTATGTATCCAATAAAACAGGCCTGTCCAATTTGAATCAAAACGCAAAGCCATCGACGCAAAAAATTTAGTGTGAGTAAGATTTCAGTGACTGTTGAAAGAGTTATCAAAGAGTATTGATAAGCGTCACTCAGATACGTATCAACACTTTACAGTCTCTGAAATTTTACCCATATTAAATTTTTTGCTTCGATGGTTTTGCGTTTTGGCTCTGGAGTTCAAATTGGACAGGCCCGCAATAAAACAAAGCATTCGCACAATGAAATATTTCATTCCAACAATGAAAATCACATAAACAGACGTAGCGTTTTCTACAATTCAATTATGGCTACCAAACTAACAATAAGTGGAATAGCAGAATGTTACAAGGATTACCTGTATTGTTTATAAAAATGCTGCCCTATTTGGCAACTAGAAGAACTAATTATAATAATTTGTCCCTTATAACAACCAGCTCCTGTCTCCCCTAATTGAAAAGAAAATTGTCACTATTGTTAAAAGTCAGCAAATTAATTTAATTTTATTAAAATTTATGATAAAAATTTTTATATTTATAATATAAAGCAATGGCTTTTTTAAGATTAAATGTTATATATGTTTATATTAAATAGAATCAAAACAAATCTATTTACATTTTACTAATATTAAAAGTGAGACGAAATAGTTAGTTTCTTATTTTTTTATTACTTTATTTCTAAATAACATTTTAAACGAGTAAATAATTAATACAAAATTATTTTAAAAACTTTTGATACAGGATATAATAAAAAAATTATGAAACTGCTAAAATATTTATAAAAAATTCATAAATAAAACAAAATAACAATATAACGAATTAAAGAAAATTATCAACACTATTTCGAGTGATATTATAGTCAAAGTATTCCAAGAGTATAACATCTCTAAGAATCAAAATACTGCTAACATAAGCATACAGAAGTAAATAAATCCACTTAGAAATTAATATTGATTTAAACAAAGTTATGTTGAAGTTATATTGGAATTTAAGTGTTATTCATGAATTTAGTTGTAAGAACATGTGTATTTGAAATTATATTAATAAATTTGTAATTTATATTGCAGTTGACAAAATGTATGTTGATCAATGGCATTGTGCATTGAAAAAAGTTGACGTAGTATGTATTTATTAAAAACAAAAATTATGTAAAAATAAAAACACACACACATACACAAACACATATATTTACGCGTGTGGTAATTAGAACAATTACATTTTTAACTTAATTCTATTTATTAACTTAATTCTAATCATTTTTGCTAAAAATTTTTACATATTGTACTATAATTATACTATATATACATATAATTTCTTAAAACAAATTTATCGGATTTAATGCAATGTTAATAATTTAATAGCAATTTTTGATTATATATTTTAATTGACATAAAGGAAGTAAATTTAAAATTAAATAAGAAAATTAATTTTTCAGTTTTAAATTGCTGTTTAATAGTAGGTACAATAATATTAAATGAGATTTAATTAAATGAGATTCATTATTTTTAGATTAATAAGGAAAATATAATAATCAGAAAAAAAGCTATTGACTATTGCGAGGCTGTTATGCCTAAACAGCACGTGGAGTCTTGCCAGAAAATCGTTATAGAGTGTATAGATGAAGGTAATCTATATATATATATTTTATTATATATATAAAGTTTATTTTTAAAAATAAATATAAGAGATTAAATGAAATTTTGAATTAAAGCTTATAATTTTATGTTTTTTTTTAATTACAGGATATAAGGAACTAGTATGTGGTGAGGAAAAGTGTCTATCCAATCTAAGGAAAAGCCTCTATCAGGTAGCATGTACTATTATATATGGTGTTACAAGATACATTGACTGTAATAAATGCAACGTAACAGAGGAAAACGCATAAAAGATATTATTTGTCGAAAATGCCACTAATTTGATAATTTTTATTTTATGCCAATATTGTATATGAAATAATTATCTGTACACTTATAACTAACTCTGTAATTATCGTAATTATTAAATTGGAATCAATATGTTGCACTAACAATAAAATATATCACGCATAATGGTGTTTATTTTTTTTAAAGCATTTTCATTAAACTTTACTTTTCATATTGACCGATAATACTATTTTAATTCGTTATTGATAATGAATACAATTTTTTCAAAGAAAAACTTATGAGCAATATCCAATCTGTGTACATATATTAAATGTAAGCAAATTTAAATGTCAGTAAATTTAAATTATGTATGTTATATTTAACTTTATGTCTTTTCCATGTTTTCTAATTCTGTAGAAGAGAAATTAGAAAAGTTATAAAATTATACAATTGCACACACATTTCAGCTAATATTTAATATACTTACAAGGGAAGTTTCACAACTGTCTGGAACCGATTTGATTATCCATGAAATATGTTGTTAAACACAAAAAATACGTGCTCCTTAGATTTTCGTGTTTAATAACATATTTCATGGAGAATCAAATCGGTTCCTGACAGTTGTGAAACTTCTTTTGTTAGTAGGTATTAATGTCTTGCATTGAAATTAATGAATATACAATTAAATTTTCAATTTTTGCACTTTTAAATATAAAAATCAAATTTTTAGAATGGTATTTATTTTTTAAATGTATACAATAACAAGGCAATAAATATATAATAATTCGCCGAAACGTGTAATTAGTGATTCGGTCTCGTCTCGGCGAGACGAGACTAGCTCAAATCTCGTCTCGGTCTCGATTTGATCTCGAAATTTTCAGTCTCGTCTCGATATCGGCTTGGTCTCGACAATGACAATTTCGTCTCGGTTTCGATCTCGAGTCGAGACTTTCGGTCTCGATAAAATCATAATAAGTGTTTTTTCAATTTCTTCTATGATCTATGCGATTAAACTTTTAAAGTTAAATTATTCACTATTTTATGAATTAATTAAATTTTTTAACTATTTTATTAATTTGTGTACTAATAATTTAAATTTTTTTTAAAATAAATGAATATATCTGGTTTTTAAAGGATATTTTTTAATGATTTAATTATTTTCTAAAGCATCATTAGTTATTAGAAAATATAGGAATAGATTTAACGAAACATCGGCACGTATAATTTTATGCATAAATTCTTGGCTGACTTGTAGTCTCAAAGA